GCAATTAATGGAATCAATTGAAAAAGTTAACAATTGAGCCGCGCCATGACAAAACCAACATAATGGGTTTGCGACCGGCATGGATCCAGACAAGCCTGCGCATCCGCGCAGTCTGATCAGGATCCATGCTGTTCGCTATCAGTTTCTCTACTTGTTATAGAGTATGACTATGTAAGCGAACAGCATGGATTCTGATCAGACTGCGCGAATGCGCAGGTTGGTCTGAATCCATGCTGGTCGCAAACCCATTATGTTGGTTTTGTCGTGACGCGGCTCAATTTTACTATGAAGACCATCCTGTGGCTGTACAGGAAAGTCCAGGAAACATTGTAGCCTAAAAATTCATATCTGCCATGACCTGACCTAGACTCCTGTCATGTTAAATGTTTTTTTTTTATAAAAGCAGTTAGATAAAAAATCATAAAAAAATAATCAATTTATAAAATACAAGTCATATTCGGTATCTCCTGTCCGCCACGGATATAACTTTTATAGAACGTAATTCGAATATAACTTAAAACTTTTTTATTTATGGACCAAATTTAACAAACTTTTGCATGTAAATTCATTTTATTATTATAAAACATCGTATCAAGAAAAAATAATAAACAAGAGCTGTCACAGGAGACAGCAAAGCTCGACTAATAAAATACTGGACGCAGTAAGGAGGACAAAACTATGAAAGATTAAATCAATTTTGTATAATTATGTATAAAATTATAGTAAAAAATAACATTTGTTAACATTAATTCCAAGATCAAGGGGAATAATTCTAGAAATAGTCATGCTAGAGTTATGGACCTTGTCACACAACATTTGTGTAATGATAAGAAATATATGTTTGAAGTTTGAAGTAGATACCTTAAAAAGTAAAGAAGTTATTATATTTCTTAAAGAAAATCCTAAGTTCAAAGAGAGATAAATCTGTAAATATTGCTTCAAGAGTTATGAACATTGTCACATAAAATGTAATTAATGATAAGGTATAAGTATTTGAAGTTTGAGGTAGATACCTTTAAAAATAAAAAAATTATTATAAAAAATAACATTTTCTAGTAAAAAAATCTAAGTTTATGGGGAGATAATTCTTGCAATATTGGTGCTAGAGTTATGAACCTTGTCACATAAGATGTGGATGATGATTACGTAAATATATTTGAAGTTTGAAGTTGATACCTTAAGAAATGACAAAGTTATAATGAAAAATATTTTACTGCACCAAAACTTTAATCTAAAATCTGGACGCGGACGCGGACGCCGACGCCGACGCCGGGGCGAGTAGGACAGCTCTCCATATACTTCGTATAGTCGAGCTAAAAACTACTTACTTTGTAAAATATAAGTCATATCCGGTATTTAAAGTCATATCCGCGGTATTAAGACATACCGGATAAAATGGTAAGATTCAAACGCTATTCAAAATATTATAAAAGATAACCAACAAAAATAGCATAAATATTAACGGATTCACTTACCTTAATATCTTTATAACTGTTTAAAACCTCCAAATTTGCAGTATATCTAATGTCCCAAAACAGAACCCAAAGAGTGAAGGATAAAACTCTAAATTGCAAGTAGTTTCTTCGTAGACACTAAATAGTAAACCGAAATGAGGCGGAGTTATGCCAACCGGACTACTTTACAAAACCGCACTGCGCTGTTATGAGCAGAAACGGTGTGCATTTCAGCCGCTCCGACATGCACATTTCTAATTTGGCACGTTCTTTTTAATAATCATATTCGTTCGATTAAGTTTTACGAATTGTTACAAAGCGATTTATTTTATTCAAACAGACCGATTCGTTTGTTTACATGATCACTAGGAAGCGTGATTAGCACAGTACAGGTCTACCTAGGTAAGTAAGGGTGTTTTTTTAATTTAGAACATGTAATGTCTCTAAATAAAGTCCATCGAATAGTTATCTAAATGCAGATAAACTTTCAGAAAATTTGATTACACTAACGTGCATTAATTAGAACTACAGTATGCTACAACTTGACACCAGTAGGCCTAAGTGATAATCTAGCTATTCAGTGTTGTAAATAAGCATCATATCATATCTGTAATTGTAACAAGATTTTTTTATAAGATTTATTATGGTTTATCAGATTTAGAAAGAGTTTTTGAGCATAAATAAAACATTTCAAAGGCCCTTTGAGCCATCCCATACATTAATCTCATTCTATTTTTCTTCATGAAAGTGCATCTGCACTCAAATTCCTAACACAAAAATATAGGTAAATTTAATGTCACATCATTTACTTAGACATCACATGTTGGCTGTTGATTTTATACATGTTTATAACCCCTTTCATTATAAATAAGAACAGCCCTAATCAAAGATATTTAAGTTAACACATTTTCAAAGTAGAATCATTGTTAATCAAAATTGTTTTCAATATCACAACCAGATTAACTTTGTTAAATCCTGTTGGTATTGTATTTATATTGTAGTTTACATAAATAACAACATTAGACAGTAGAAAATATAAAGAAAATAAGGTTCTTTCTCATTATTTATTCTTGCTGTAAATTCTTGCCCTCACAGTATTCATTCTCTTACAGATCACAGAAGTTTAGCGCAGGGATCAAGCATGGTAAGATAATTTGATAAATTGGTCCAGTATTATCATTATACATGTATATGGGCTGGAGCCCACTGGGTCACATATATTATATATGGGCTGGAGGAGCCCACCTGGTCACATATATCAATGAGGACTATTCCTTTTAATGCTTTATTGCTTTTATCATTAATTGTTAGAGTTTAAATATATTTCTCCGATGATAAATATGTAGTACTCCAAAAAGGGTGATTATTTTGTATGTTGAAATGTTTCCAGTGCTTCTGGGGCTTTTTTGAGAAATAATTGAGACTTATTTCCCTCTTAAAATTATGTGTTTTTCCCCATTCTGTGGCATAATTTTCCTTTAAATTAAATAATGTTTAGTCATAAGTATTTTGTGTAATACTTTTTAATATATTTAAAAAGTAAGTTAATTATTTTCATCTAAAGTAAAGGTATGATCGATAACTTTCAATGATATTGCTTTCCTTTGTTTCCTTTTGATAGTAGTTGTTTTAACCTAAATGTTTTAAATTTTCCCCTTGAAAGTACACTGGCACCAGAGTCCTGATAATATTTTGGCAGTTTGTGTTATATGGGTATGATTTAATTTATTTTACGAATATTTAAGGACTCTGGTGCCAGTGTGAAAGTATTCTACTAATGATTAATATAACACTAATGTACTAAGATTATGTCATATTTACAGTATATATAAAAGCAATTAATGTTTGATCAGATATTTGCACTAATACATTATATTGTTTTGTTTACACAATATGTGCTATTTTATTTTTGTTTTCAGAGTAACTACCCACAAAGTTATGGGAGTTTTCAGGGGTATGGGGGGTATGGTAACTATGGGCAACAAGGACCACCTTTTACCAACTCAGGACCACCCCCACCACCTATGGGTGGTATGGGGATGATGTTTGGGGCAATGAACCAAGCTATGAACCAAGCTATGTCTTTTCATCAAAGCTCTTACAATAACTTCACAGGATATGGTAAGCTAAGAAGTTTGCAAGGCATTTAAATACATACCATGATACATGTACAAACATTTCCTTGAATGATATTGTTCTGAAAAAAAAACTCATCCTCAATTTTGAAGAGTTGCAGTTGACGAAAATAACTGTATTATTTATTGGATACTACTATATTATACTAGCCAATGGATACTGCTTCTATACCAGTACATTAAAAAAACTTTCAAAATCTTTAAGAATAGCTTGAATTAATTAAGTACATGCATTTATAAATCTTTATCTTAAAAAAACATTTTTTTTTTTTTTTTTTTTGAAAATTTCTTGTGTATTTTGTATGATGTATACAATTTTGGCAGATATTAGATACTTTCTTCATCTGTTTGTACAATAAACACATTTATTTAATGTATATTTAAAATAAAATGATACTTTTAAATAAAAGTACAATGAGACTGATCAAGCCCTCTGGACTACTTTATCTTTCAATTCGGACATAATCATTCATCATTTTTGGGGAAAATTTCAAAGTATGTACTAAATCAATAGCAAACAGTGCAGACCTTGGTAGAATCATTTGCTGCATGCAGGATAAAGGTTAACTATCATGGGTATTTAGTATTTTTAGTCCCCTACCGGTTTACCGGAGGGGACTTTAGGTTTACCCTCCGTCCGTCTGTCCGTCTGTCCGTCCGTCCGTCCGTCAGTCCGTCTGTCCGTCCGTCAGTCCGTCCGTCCACAAAACTGGATCCCGCGATAACGCAAAAAGTACTGAAAATATTTTAATGAAACTTGATATATGGATAGATGGCAGTATGGAGATTATGCACGTCTTTTTCTTTTCTTCCTATGTTGAAAATTCTGGTTGCTATGGCAACAAATAGACTGAAAATATGGCAAATTTTACACATAACCTGGATCCCGCGATAATGCAAAAAGTACTGAAAATATTTTTATGAAACTTGATATATGGATAGATGGCAGTATGTAGATTATGCACGTCTTTTTCTTTTCTTCCTATGTTGAAAATTCTGGTTGCTATGGCAACAAATAGACTGAAAATATGGCAAATTTTACACATAACCTGGATCCAGTGATAACACAAAAAGTACTGAAAATATGTTTATGAAACTTGACATATGGATAGATGGCAGTATGGAAATTATGCACATCCATTTTTATCTTCCTATGTTGAAAATTCTGGTTGCTATGGCAACAAATAGACTGAATTTCAAGATTTCTGATTCTAGTTTTTAAGTTTTTTTCACTATAAGTTCTTTATTTCTTAAGGTATTTTCTTCAAACTTTAAATATAAGTTGCTTGTCATCAACCAAATCATATGTGACAAGGTTTACAACTCTAGCACAAAATTTATCAAAATTACCTCCCTTGAACTTAAAATTTTCATGAAAAAAACGTTGTTTTTTTAAATAACTTCTTTTTCTGAATGTATCTACTTCAAACTTCATATAAATGTTTCTTATTGTCACTCAACATTTGTGAGTGTTCAATACTCTAGCAAGACTATTTCCAGAATTATGCCCCTTTTTTTTGAGAAATTGGTAATTTTTACTCCAACTTCTTCAATCATGATAGGATTTTAAAAATGTTATATTTTGATAACAGGGATGTTTAAAAAATAACTTTAGAGTGTCCTTCAGTCCGTCTGTCTGTACATAAAAACTGTTTCCTGTGATCACTTTTAAAGAACTTTTTCAACAAATTTACTTAAAATAGGAACCTAAGTGAATGGCCAATGGCCCTTCAGAATGTTGCTTGGGCTCTTACCGGTAGGGGACTTATGGATTGCTTGCAATACTATGATAATTGCTTGTTCTATTGTGTTTGCAGGTGGAGTTCCTGGGTACCATTGTCAAGCTGTACAGCAAATGAGTTCTGGTTATCCAATGGGAAACCAGGTATGTTGTTCTGTTCAAATGATTTATAGGTGAAATAAAATTATATGGTTTAAGATTAAAAGAGAAACAAAACAAAGTAGCAGTCATAAGCAAATATGAAGCAATTATTGTAATAGCTAAATGTCATCTGATATCAAGTTTCAAGTTTATTGGCAAATCGACAATGAACATCGTCTTTGGCCATTTACACACATACACTATATGGCAAAGACATTTAACATCAATATAACTTTAACATGTTTACATTTTACACTGATATAATCAAACAAATATACAGAAAAAATACAAGTAAATAATCAATCAATTTTATACTTACGAGACAATGATTTAAGAATTTGTTAAGAAGCCATGAGAAATTCTAAATAATTGTTTCAGCATTTCATTGACTCATCTATAAATTTCGCAATTTTAAAAAGTTTAAATTTATTTTTATATATCAAATACATTGAATCCTGTATTAATTAAATGATTATATAGGTAAGTGAATAATATATATATGACTGTTTTATTATTAACTGCCAGACTACATGTATAATTTGCTCTTTTGGAACACAGTGTACATGCTTGTTTACAAAATTATTTTATTTCCCCATCATTTGCCAGCGGTTGACACAAACATTCAAAGCAATAAAAAGTTCTTTGTTTTGATACATTTTCAATGTTTTGTATGAATATTGTAGCCACCCCCGAATCCACCACAACCCCCACACTCCTACTCCCATCAACCGTTTGCTCAACATCAGATGGAGATGCATATGCAGCGACAAATGTACCAGGTAGTTTTATAATGTTCATATATCACTCTATACTTGACATTCCGCATGTATTATATCTATAGAATTTTGACTGTTTAATCATTAGCAATGTAAACAAGAAATGGAAAGATTTGTATCAAATTTGACTGAAGCATGCAGTTTCTCTAAATTGTTTTGAGCTATAGCTTTAAAGGGTACAATTTAGTCATATTTATGTTATATTAATGCTTTCTTTTGTTTTAGAAATGCTTTCGGTAAATAAAAAACACAACTGACATAATTTGTTAAATGTCTGTAATTAATATGTACTGGTATTAATTGCCTTTCTATATTTTGTTTTTAAGCAAATGGGTTTTAAGGCCCCAAAACCTCCAGCTCCACCAGCTGCTGAAGGTGAGGATCCACCTGAAGAGGAACCGGAAGAGGTTGGTGTAATTCAAATTGAGCCGCGTCACGACAAAACCAACATAATGGGTTTGCATCCGCGCAGTCTTATCAGGATCCATGCTGTTCGCTATCAGTTTCTCTACTTGTTATAGGGTTTGTAAGCGAACAGCATGGATCCTGATCAGACTGGGCAGATGCGCAGGCTAGTCTGGATCCATGCTGGTCGCAAATGCAGTACGTTGGTTTTGTCATGGCACGGCTTAAAGTTTTCATTTTGTTGTTTTTTTTTAATTTGGCCCTCTATTATGGTACTTTATTATGTGTATAAGCTAGCCACTTCGACTAATTTTCTTATACCAATTTTAGGGAAACATTACTATTTTATCACTCTTACTGGTTGATGCAAGTAACTTAAAACTTTTTAACAATTTAGAAGCTGTGGCCTTTATCTTGATATTCAGTGATTGAATCATTTATTGGAGTCATTTATGTATCAGTCAAAATAATACTATTTGATATTTTAAGATGAAAATGGTTAAAATTTCCATTCTTGAGAATTTATATGAACTCACTATATAGTTCTTCAATTGTTGAAAAAAAAGTGTATTCTGATAAGACCAGCATTTTAATTATTTTGTGAATTAATTGATTAATTAAGATTTGTAAAATTATGTTATATTAACAAGAGGATTTAATATGTATTTGTTATGGCATATTCTACAGTCTAGCAGAATCTGTAAGAAAGTCATTATATTATAAATACACTATATTCAGGAAACAAATGCTAAAGATTTAGATGAGGAGGTGAAAACAAGGATGAAGAATTTCTATGTTGAGGAGCTTCTCCGACGTAACGCCATTACTTCAACTCTTGAGATGGCACAGGGCACTGTTGTTCCAATGGTAAAATATTTCCCAGAGGACATTGTTGTAGAGTTCTACAAGAATGAACGTGATACAGATCTAGCTGGTGAGGATTGGGATGCTGAAGCTGACTGTGAATATCTGAATGTGGCAATGAAAGGACCAGGTAATTTATTGTGTCGCCTTGAAAAGGTGACATATAGGGATTACTTTTGTCGGCGGCGGCGTCTGTGTCGGCGGCGGCGGCGTCTGTGTCGGCGGCGTCGTCTTCGTTGTCGGCGTCCCCTAAAGCTTGTCCAGAGCATAACTCAGTCACTGTAAGTCTGATTGACTTCAAACTTGGTATGCATGCTTCTTTCAATAACCCGAAGTGCAGTGCACAAGGACCGGTACTCTGCAGTTCTTATTTTTTGAGTTATTGCCCTTTGTTAATTTTCATACTTTAATTTTGTCCGGGCCATTTCTCTTCAACTTATAAAGCTATGGACTTGAAACTTCATAGGATGATACATCTCATTAAGAAGAAGTGCAGTGCATAAGAACCGGTACTCTGCACTTCCTAATTTTTGAGTTATTGCCCTTTGTTAATTTTCATACTTTATTTTTGTCCGGGCCATTTCTCCTAATGTATAAAAGCCATGGACTTGAAACTTCATAGGATGATAGGTCTCATTAAGAAGAAGTGCAGTGCACAAGAACAGGTACTCTGCATTTCTTATTTTTTGAGTTATTGCCCTTTGTTTATTTTCATACTTTAATTTTGTCCGGGCCATTTCTCCTTAAGTATAGAAGCTATGGACTTGAAACTTCATAGGATGATAGATCTCATTAAGAAAAAGTGCAGTGCACAAGAATCAGTACTCTGCATTTCTTAATTTTTGAGTTATGGCCCTTTGTTCATTTTCATACTTAACTTTTGTCCAGGCCATTTCTCCGAAAGTATAAAAGTTATGGACTTGAAACTTCATAGGATGATAGATCTCATTAAGAAAAAGTGCAGTGCATAAGAACTGATACTCTGCATTTCTTATTTTTTGAGTTATTGCCCTTTGTTGATTTTCTTACTTTATTTTTGTCCTGGTCATTTCTCCTCAAGTATGAAAGCTATGGACTTGAAACATCATAGAATGATAGATTTATTGATAAGAGGTGCAGTGTACAGAAACTGCTGCTCTGCACTTATTATTTTTTAGTTATTGCCTTTGTTATTTTTCCTATTTCATTTTTGTCCTGGCCATTTCTCCTAAACTACATTGTTCACAAGGCGACACATCCGACTCGCAGAGTTCTAGTTTATATAATCTATTCTTTGTGTAAAAATTGAGTATTTGGCATCTGTAGAAATATCAGTTATTAGCTATTTTATAGATATATACATATTGTGCATGTTTATTAAAATGTCTAGCCAGTGTCTCAATGTTAAGGATATCAGGAGAATAAATTTAAATCTTGCAGAGTATATACATGTTTTGTGAAGTCTGCTTTATTATGCCCCGGGCATATAGTGTTACCCTGTTCCGTCTTTCCGTACCTCCGTCCTTCCGTCATTGTGTCATTCCGTCATCATCAGTTTCCGTTCATTATCTGAAGAACGGTTGGACACATTCAACTCAAATTTCACATATGGTTATGTCATGAGAAAATACAGGTCAAGTTTGAATTTGGTCATGGTTCGATGATTTTTGGCAGAGTTATGCCCCTTTTACTTTCAAAATAATATGAAATTTCAGTTTCCGTTCATTACCTTAAGAATGGTTGGACACATTCAACTCAAACTTGACATATGGATATGTCATGAGAAAATACAGGTCAACTTCGAATTTGGTTATGGTTTGATGATTTTTGGCAGAGTTATGGTTCGATGATTTTTGGCAGAGTTATGCCCCTTATACTTTGAAAATAATATGAAATTTTCAGTTTCCGTTCATTATCTCCCCAACGGTACAACAAAATCAACTCAAACTTGACATATTGATATGTCATGAGAAAATACAGGTCAACTTGGAATTTGGTCATGGTTCGATGATTTTTGGCAGAGTTATGCCCTTTTTACTTTGAAAATAATATGAAATTTTCAGTTTCCGTTCATTATCTCCCTCAAGGTACAACACATTCAACTCAAATGTTACACATGGATGCGTCAAAGAAATGCGCAGGTCAAGTTCAAATTTGGTCATGGTTCAATGATTTTTGGCAGACTTATGCCCCTTTCACTTTGAAAGTAATATGAAATTTTCAGTTTCCCTTTATTTATCTCCCCAATGGTACAACACATTCAACTCAAATTTGACATATGGATATGTTTTTGGAATGCCCAGGTCAAGTTCAAATTTGGTCATGGTTCAATGATTTTTGGTAGAGTAATGCCCCTTTCACTTTGAAAATAATACATGTATGAAATTTACAGTTTCTGTTCATTATCTACCCAACAGTGTTACATATTCAACTTTAATTTGACATATGGATATGTCAAAGGAATGGGCAGGTCAAGTTGGAATTTGGTCATGGTTTGATGATTTTTTGGCAGAGTTATGTCCCTTTCAATTTGAAAATAATATAGATACATCTTAGGAATAAGCAGTTTAAGTTTGAATTTGGTCATGGTTCAATGATTTTAGACAAACTTATCTTTCCTGAATGTTGGAAAAATTTTGAACTTTCAGTTTCACCACTCATTCTTTTAGCCATTATTTTGGCTACAAATATGCAATATGTCATTTCTAAAAGGTTAAGACTGAATAATTTCAGTTCCTTGAACATTGTATGGAAATGGTTTGTGTTAACATTGAACAGTTTTAAGGGCTTTGAACTTAAAATGAAAAAAATAATTAATACACCATCTGAAATTTTGGCTGCATGCGGGGGCATCCGTGGCATGATGACACATTTCTAGTTATATCATAACTCAAAAAAAAAACTTACTCCACCAGTTTTTATGCCCCCACAATGTGGGTGCATATAGCGTTGCACTTGTCCGTCCGTCAGTCCGTCTTCGTCCGTACGTCCCGAAATCTTGTGAACGCAACTCCTCTTAAACCGCATGGCAGATTTTGCTTAAACTTACAGGGATGAACAACCTTAATATGTAGATGGAAGTAAAGGAAGGAATTTTTGCTGTGACCAAATTTAACAGAATTATGGCCCTTTGTTGATTTTTTTACTAGATACTATATAGAAATTTTGTGAACGCAACTCCTCTGAAACCGGATGACAGATTTTGCTTAAACTTACAGGGATGAACAACCTTAATGTGAAGATGGTAGTAAAGGAAGGAATTTTCGCTGCGACCAAATTTAACAGAATTATGGCCCTTTGTTGATTTTTTCACTATATACTATGTAGAAATTTTGTGAACGCAACTCCTCTTAAACAGGGTGGCAGATTTTGCTTAAACTTACAGGGATGAACAATCTTAAGGTGTAGATGGTAGTAAAGGAAGGAATTTTCGCTGCGACCAAATTTTACAGAATTATGGCCCTTTGTTTATTTTTTCACTATATACTATGTAGAAATTTTGTGAATGCAACTCCTCTTAAACCAAATGGCAGATTTTGCTTAAACTTCCAGGGATGAACAACCTTAATGTGTAGATGGTTTTAAAGTAAGGAATTTTTTCTGCGACCAAATTAAACAGAATTATGGCCCTTTGTTGATTTTTAGTTTTCAACTTGTGGCACATGTAGTCCAAAAAATATTTGACCTAGAGTCATAAGATTGACAGAACAGTGGCGTGTGGGGGCATCCGTGTCCTATGGACACATTTCTAGTTTTCTTTAAGATAGAAAGTAAGTAGAAATTAACATCAAATGTTATCATTTGTGATTTAGATTGATTTGTGTATAAAGAGGTTATTCAATATTGTGGTAAATATTTTGGTCATTGTATTGACTATACATAAATATTTATATACATCTATCTTTATCTTATTTAAGGTACCACAGAGAAGATAATTACTCACAATTATAATTATTTTATTGTTTAAGGTACAATATATAATCAATTCAATAAAAACAAACGCTTCTTCAGAAAAATTGACGTTTGACAAAAATCTTTTTTTTTGTTTTTGTTTTTTGTTTAAGGTACCACAGAGAAGATAATTACTCACATTTATAATTATTTTAATGTTTAAGGTACCACAGAGAAGATAATTACTCACATTGTGGCTACACGATGTAATGCTCAGAGACAGAAGTTGAAGAAAATGTTTAAAACTATGTATGGCAAGGTTTGTATCATAGCATATCCGACTTCACAATCTTTTTAAACTTGAGTTTCTTTCTTGCATCTGTGCAACAGATTCTTTAAATAAAAATATTATTATTGCACTATAATTTGAAAATGCAATTTTTTCACAAATATTATTGATGAAGCATTTTATAATTGAAGGCAAATCTAAAACTAGCAATGCTGCAATTCCTTTTTTACACCATTTGTTTTTTCTTATGATCAAGCAGAGGAGAACATGTTCAGATTTCAAATTTTATGTTTTATTTTTACAGGATCTGATTGAAGAGATAAAGAGTGAGCTGAGTGGGGACTATAAGGATGCTATCCTTGCTTGTTTTGTTTCTCCTGCATTCTTTGATGCTAAATGTATCAAGAAAGCAATCTATGTAAGCTCTCTTTATAATTAGTAATTGTGAATTGAACAGTTCCAAATTTAGTAAATTTATATATTATAGCAGTAAAATAAAACAAACAAAAAAGCTGCAAGACATTGATTTGGTTTTATAGCACTTAGTGTTTATATATATGATACTATGATAAAATTCTGTATTTCTGATTTGACTTTCCCAGATATTGAGAACTGATAATGAATATTTATGTTTCACTAATTTTTTCACAAGATGGCAAAACAGAAATGTCTGTTTCTTCTAACATAGGGTTTAGTATCACCTAATTTTACACTGCACAACAGATATAAGCTTGTCTGATTGCTATGGCATCGTTGTACAAAATCTTTAATCTTGCCCATTACTCAAACAATTTTAAAGGTATCTATATATGAAACTTTGAATACTTATCATTACAAAAGGTCATGATTTTGAGAAAGACATGGATTTTTTAGCTCTGATTAAAATTTAAATATACGTGAAATATTGAACGCTTCTTGGAATTTTTGTTCTAATCCAGTGTATAAACATTATTATTTATGTCTGGAATAGCATATAGCCAAAATAGTGCAGGCAAAAAGAAGGAAAATAAGCGAAAAGTTATATCACCTTGGGACATGTGTAAAAATACAAGTGAAATCAGTCAGGTAACATGAACAGAGTTGAAACAGGGTTTCACTTTTTGATGGTGTGTCCTAGATATAGAGAGCTTAGAAAATTTTTTAAAGGGATATTTCTGTAGGTGGCCAACAATTAATAAATTTGAATCTTTATTAAATTCTAAATCGAAAATAGAGCTATACAACCTTTTGAAGTTTTTATATTTTGCAAATAAAGAGAGAATATCTTGATGATGTAGTATTAATTAATATCATATTAACATCTAGATGTAGTATCAATATCATTTTTAAGACATTTTGTGCAACCTGCTATTTCCTAAGTATTTTAAGACCTTTCAGGCAATAGTGTAATTATTATTTTTTCATTCCATGTCAGATCTCATTTTCATGAATGTATATATATGTTTTGTTTTTGCTATAAACATTGTAATAATGTTTTATTTGCAATAAAAGTATTTGTATTTGTATATTTGTATTTGTATCATTACAAAAGGCAGTTGAAGAGCAAGGGGCATAATTCTGAAAGCTATATTTTTGGAGTTGTGTCCCTTTTTAACTTAGAATTTTTGTCTAAAGTTAACACAGCATGCTGTGCTCTTGTTAAATTAGAGTATTGTTGTTACTGTACCAACACTGTGTAATTTCTTTTTCCTATCTGATATACTGTCTTAATCTACTCTAAGTTATAAATTTTATTTGACAGGATCTTTGTCTTCACTATGTTACTAATTAAAGACAAATATTTACATATTTTATTGTCTGGCATAGTCTTGATGTACAGTATTTTAATTAAATGCATTTGTTTCTGCTAGGCTCTAAGTCTATTTTATTTTTATTTTCTTGTAGGGACTTGGCACTGATGAGTTGGCTCTAATAGAAATACTAATGACCAGGACAAATGCACAGATCAATGAGATGAAAGCTGTGTATGGACGAGGTAACATATGTCAAGTTTTCCCTTCCTTATCTATAAAACAAGCTTTACTTAACTCAAACTATGATAAGCTTTAGCATAAATGTTTCAGTACAGTACAATGTCTGCAGAACTACATCATTTGGGAGACAAAATTTTGCTTGTTGTTAACAGGTAATTCTCAAGCCTGGTTATTATTAGTCCCCTTACGGTTTAACCGGAGGGGACTTTAGGTTTACCCTCCGTCCGTCTGTCTGTCCGTCTGTCCGTCCGTCAGTCTGTCTGTCCACAAAACTGGATCCCGCGATAACGCAAAAGTACTAAAAATATTTTTATGAAACTTGGTATATGGATCCAGTGATAACTCAGAAAGTACTGAAAATATTTTTAGGAAACTTGAAATATAGGTAAATGGCAGTCTGGAGATTATGCACATCTTTTCCTTTTCTTCCTATGTTGAAAATTCTGGTTGCTATGGCAACAAATAGTCTGAAAATAAGGCAAATTTAACACATAAACTGGATCCAGTGGTAACTCTAAAAGTACTGGAAATATTTTTATGAAACTTGAAATATGGGTAAATGGCAGTCTGGAGATTATGCACATCTTTTCTTTTTCTTCCTATGTTGAAAATTCTGGTTGCTATGGCAAAAAATAGCCTGAATTTCAAGATTTCTGATTTAAAATTTTCAGCTTTTTCACTATAAGTCCTTTATTTCTTAAGGTGTTTACTTCAAACTTAAAATATAAGTTTCTGGTCATCAACCACATCATATGTGACAAGGTTTACAACTCTAGCACAAAAATTATCAGTATTACCTCCCTTGAATTTAGAATTTTTATGAAAAAAAAAAAATTGTCTTTTAAATAACTTCTTTATTTCCTAATATATCTACTTCAAACTTCATAATTATATATGTTTCTTATTATCACTCAACATTTTTGAGAAGGTTAAATACTCTAGCAAGACTATTTCCAGAATTATGTCCCCCTTGAACTTAGATTTTTTTCGAGAAATTGGTATTTTTTTCTCCAACTTCTTCATTCCTTCTAGGATTTACTTCAAAATCCCACGTCGTAATAATATGACAAGGTTGTATAAACATAATTTCCTTACTTAAGGCAGGGAAACTTAACACATTACTGTGATATAGACAAACTTAGAACTCAAAAGATTAAAGTTCATTCATGTCATTCATTCACTGGTAAAATTGAATGGCCAATGGCCCATCAGAATGTTGCTGGGGTTCTAACCGGTAGGGGACTTATGGATTGCTTGCAATACTATGATAATTGCTTGTTTAGTTTATTGTTTATTACTTTGGGAAAACTTGGTTGTTGTACAGATGTTATTGCTCTACAGAGGGACATAATGTAGAGGTGGCACAAATAGAGAGTTTAGGGAGAAATCTTTAGTTGACAATTATGTTTGTTTTAAATACATTTGAAGTTGCTCGCCCTGATGAGGTGACCTATGAGACGCTTATAGAAGATGACATTGAAGGCGATACGGGCGGTGATTTTAAGCGCCTCCTTATTTCATGTGCCCAGGTTATACATTAGTTACCTGTGAACCCAGTGTATTGGTGTGTGTTTCCCTAATAACAGAATATAACTTTAAGATAACATTCCTCCTTTGGAAAAAAATATAAAGAAGAGAAAAAAATGTCCTTGTTCCCTGGTTTATTTTACCTAGATCCCCTTTAGATTAAAATTTAACTGTATAATTTTGTTAATCTTGTCAATGTTCTGTCCCTCACACTCAAATACATCACATAATGGTATTTTTTTACTATAGTCACTTTTTGTTGGTGTCACACACTTGTTTTCCTGGTGGTTTTGCATCCCTATTCCTTATTCTTTAGTACTTGTTTATGTCTATAAAATTAATGTATATTGTATATTGTACTTTTTTATTCCTCAATTAATATAATGCAACATTACAATAACAAAGCTGGATTTCTGAAAATTAATTTTAAAATTGAAACAAAGGATTACAGATATTAGAATATTGTGAACTAATGTCAAATCATGAAAGCATACAAATTAAATTGTTCATATAGCAATTATTTATATTATATTTCCACATACATTTTGTGGATAACATATCCTGAAAAAAAATGAATTCTCCTTCTACTTTCTTTTTATACAATTATTTGATTTTTTTATCTGATTGATATAATTAACAACTTATTATGAAGAAGAGACACTAATAAAACAACTATTAAAAAGATATTAGATAGTTTGTATCATTCTTTGCCACATTGTTATATAATACATTACATTATTATATAACACATTACATGTTATATAATACATTACATTGTTATATAAATACATAACATTGGTATATAATACATTTATATTGTTATATAATACATTACATTTTATATAATACATTACATTGTTATATAATACATTACATTGTTATATAATACATGACATTGTTATATAATACATTACATTGGTATATAATACATTACATGTTATATAATACATTTACATTGTTATATAATACATTACATGTTATATAATACATGACATTGTAATATAATACATTACATTGGTATATAATACATTACATTGGTATATAATACATTACATGTTATATAATACATTTACATTGTTATATAATACATTACATGTTATATAATACATTACATGTTATATAATACATTACATTGTTATATAATACATTACATGTTATATAATACATTTACATTGTTATATAATACATTACATTGTTATATAATACATTACTTGTTATATAATACATTACATGTTATATGATACATTCACATTGGTATATAATACATTACATGTTATATAATACATTTACATTGTTATATAATACATTACATGTTATATAATACATTACATTGTTATATAATACATTACATGTTATATAATACATGACATTGTTATATAATACATGACATTGTTATATAATACATTACATTGGTATATAATACATTACATTGTTATATAATACATTACATTGTTATATAATACATAACATGTTATATAATACATTACATTGTTATATAATACATGACATTGTTATATAATACATTACATTGGTATATAATACATTACATGTTATATAATACATTTACATTGTTATATAATACATTACATGTTTTATAATACATGACATTGTTATATAATACATTACATTGGTATATAATACATTTTATTATATAATCTATAAATAGCTTTGAAATGCCTTTCCCTGATTGGCTAACAAGCAACTTTTTGTAAAAAATAACAGGTCAATATCAGAGTATATTCACTGTTTTTTTCCTAAAAATAGATTTTCAGAGTATATTCACCGGTTTTTCTTCTAAAAATAGATTTTCTGGAAATCCCTAAAAGACGCGAGACTTTGACGTGACGTCACGCCAAGTTTGTTGTTATTATTCTGAAGAAACGTTGAGTTGGGTGTACATAAGAGTCAAATTAGTCTATTTTAGTTACCATTTTTCATTTTTAAGAAAAATAGGGATTAGCATGCCAGTGGAAAGGGCCAAATTATGGAAACAGTAGACAAGTAGACAAGCTGAAAAATAATGATTTCCGTCGTATGCAATGGCAGATGTGATAAGCCATATGAAAGCTTTTTATAGATTATATAATAAAACAGATATGTACTTTTTAGCTGTTGAATATGATGTGATATGAACTGAAAAATTAATATTGACCTCGGCTATCGCTTCGGTCAATATTAATTTTTTCAGTACATATCACATCATATTCAACAGCTAAAAAGTCCATATTTGTATAACATGTTATATAATACATTTACATTGTTATATAATACATTACATGTTATATAATACATTACATTGTTATATAATACATTACATGTTATATAATACATTACATTAGTTACATACTGCATATGTTTAATTACATATGGCCATTGGTTGTTAGAAAGAAAAAATCTGTTGACTTCAACCTATAAGGCATGTTGCATTTATGATTATTCTGTACAAATGAAGAATTCAAACACAAGTATGAGTTACCAGAACAATAAATAATTTCAAATATTAACAGGGTAACAGGTATGAAATTGACAGAGAAAAGCTTCAAAATGCTGTAGAAGAAATTGTAAATGCTAATGGAGAGGGCACCGGTATGTTTGAGGTAAACTTAAGTTTATAGAATTTGTTTTAGTTCAATTATGTTGGAAGCTATAAGCTTATTGAAACACTCTAGAATCCATTCCTGAAACCAACCAGTACTAAGCAATGAGAGTAAAGTTTCTTGCTCAAGGAAACAACAGTTTGCCCCTGATGGGGTTTGAATCCAGGCAGCCAGTAATCCTTAGATTACTAGTCTGACTTGTTAACCACTCAGTCATGCCACCACTGAGGTAAACTTGACAATACAATTCTTTACTAACTATTATAACTGTATTTAAATGTATATTTGCAGAAAAAGATTTTTAGGCTTAATGTCATGGTATTAGGATTATAATATCTTGTTTGGTCACTTTAATGTATTTTGGAATAAAGTAATTTTGGGTTCTTGTAAGTAAGTTATTTGTATTTCAGTTTTATTGATACATGTACCTTGAATGAAGTTATGCTACATATACACATGCATACAAGTTGTAACTTCTAAAACTATTTGTAGAATCAAATCCTAATGTAAATAAATAATAGAATATCATTTATTTGATTTATTGTCTTGAAGCTTTGTTCTATGATATTTGATAATTATTTACTGTGAAACCACCTCAGGAATTTGATTGTGCATATTTAACAATAGAATTTGTTTAGATGATATTCAAGTTTTTTTCTATAAATACAGGATTTATTTCCATCAAATGGCATGAAAATAAATATTTCATGAGTGTTGTAAGCCACATGTGAAATGTTATAACTTTCATACTATTAGATGAAAATAAATCCAATGTTTATTGAAAAAAAAATTGAATTTTCTGTTTTTTATAATTATGCTTCTCCATAATGTGTCCTTATGATTTGAAAGGCTTCTTTAATTTTGTGTATTGGCTGAATTTAAAGTTGAAGTCTAGCAAGACACCAGTGAAAATATGTTAAATAGATATTTACAGTGAAAATACGGAAAATGAAAATACATATTTTATTTCATCAGTATTTCTCAATACATGTATTTCATTTATATGTATGTAAACTTTTATATAAGGTGAACTATGAGAAGCTGACTAACACGCGAACAGCAAAGCGAGATGCTCAGAGACTGTTTGATGCCGGTGAAGACAGGTGGGGTACTGATGAAGAAACATTCAACCTTATCTTTGCTACAAGGGATTTCTATCAGCTTAGAGCTATATACAACCAATATGTAAAGGTAATGTTTACTTTTTATGTTTATATGTAGTTGAAGCACACTTTGAAATGCTTTTAACATATTATCATGATATTTTTGGTTATAAATCTGATAATTATTTGATGCATTTTTGACTTGTATACAGTATTTTAAGAGGATTCTGTAAATATCACAAATAGACAATATAATACTTCAGATGTAAGACCAATTTTGTTACCTAGATTAACTAGTAATGTGGGCCAAGCATTTTTCATTTTACTTCTTCTTGTGTTGGATCTCTTTATAATGACTTATTTAAATATTCATTTTAATTGTAATATTTTCGAAAATAAGCTGTCACTTTTGATATATAGTTATTACATCAATTTTATAGATAGCTCAAGCTGATATCAGACATGCTGTTGACAGTGAAACATCTGGGGATTATAGAAGAGGGCTAAAGGCTGTAGCTCAGAGTGTGATGAACAGACCAAAGTACTTTGCTGAGAGACTTATGAAAGCTATGAAAGGTCTTGGTACTGATGAAGAAACTTTGATCCGTATAGTAGCTTCAAGATCTGAGGTAACAATTGTCTATTTCCCTTTCATTTTTTAAGGTACATTGTCATTACATTGAGGCTTCCTGGAAGCAATATGAATTAAGTTATACTTTAATCACTAGTATCTCTGCTTTTTATTATGTCACAAACTCTGCATATGAAATCTCTAATAAATGACTTGATTGGATTTATAACACAACCAAAGATCTTGAAAAGCATAAAATGAATAATAAATATCTTACACTATTTCCCACATTGTGAAAAAAACAACATTATAATATAGCCATCATACTGGGCAACATTGTAAAAATAACTATTATACCATTGTAAAGATAATCGTTATATCATGGTCCATATTGAGTATATGGTCATTATACCATTGACCACATGTAAATATAGCTATCATACCATGGACCACATTGACCATGAACCACATTTATACAATGACCACATTGTAAATATTACCATTATTTCATGGAACACATTGTAAATTTAACCATTATGCCATAAATCACATTGTAAATTTAACCATTATACTAAATTTATCACATTGAAAATATAACCATTGCACAATTGAATTGATCACATTGTAAATTTAATCTTTTTCCACCACATAGGACATAATTTATGTGTACAATATTTTCAGATTGACATGGTCCAGATTAAAGCTGAGTTCCTGGAAATGACCCACAAAACTCTGTACCGCTACATAGAGGAAGATACCAGCTTTAACTTTAAGAAGATCTTACAAGCACTTGTCGGCAAAAATTAGACAACTGTTGTTTAAGACAAAATCTTGTATGCTGTGCAAATTGAACAAGATCTAAATTTGTCTGTGTTTTATTAACCCTTTTTCATGTATGTAATAAACTTATATAAAGACAGTGAACAAAATTATGGGATATTAATATCTGATTGTTTTTAACTGTAAATATCTTATCTTTCAATTGTTTTATATAGAGAAAAGAAGAAATTAATTGAAAATAGCAGAACTGATTGTCTTTTAGTTTTTATATCAATCCAGAATGTCATTTAATGTACGTTTTTACTTGCAAGTTATGTTTGTTCAAAGTCCACATTACCTTTATCCTTATTAGGTGAGTAATATTTTACAAAAGTTCCCTCATATGAATATGAAGATACTGTGATTGGTATTATTGTTTAAACATCAAAGATATATGTGTTACTATCTTGTTGAACTGTCTTCCAAGATTATAATTAATCTGACGCAGTTATCTGCTTTTTTTGCTTTTTTATAGGAAAAAAATTCTTCTAAGCACATGTAAATTTTATATTTGAATTTCTCTACATTTGAAGGAAAGCATACCTTACTTTAAATTTAATGACACCTACTTGAGCTGAATAACCTTGTTGTTTTGTGGTCAGTAGGTCAAGGTCATAATGGTATTTAATGTGAAAACAGTTTACTTTAAATTAAAGCAGGTATTAATTAAAAGTAAAATATTGTGAAGTGAACAAAGAAAGTAATTCACTCATTGCAAACTGCACTTACAATCCAAATAAATGACAAAACAGAGGTCAAAATACACATAAATACCTCTTACTGTGTTAGTAACACAGTAGAATTATTGTGATTGATACTGCAAAATCAGTCATTAATCACACAAAACATGTAAATAATTTTATTAAATATTGAATCTTTTTACTTTTCTTAAGATATTAATACATTATTTTAAAGATTGATTTTTTGGAAATATTTTCCCTCATCTGGAAGCGTGCAGCTTTAAACCCAGAACCGTCACACTTCATGTAAAAAATGCACCCTAAATGTAAAGTGTTTTACTCAATAACTTGTGTGCAATTTGTCCATAGTCTTCAAACATTTTAAAAAACTGCTTATTTTCATGATCAAAAGGTGAAGGTCACAGTAAAAATTCACTGATGTTAGTAAATCAACTTAAGGTCAATGTAACGGTGGATTTGAATGTGAAACTAAAAGACCAAGATCGTTCAGACTTCATGATTTGATCTTGCTTTTGTAGTTAAAGACCATTATCGTTTTTGGGACAATAAATGGTGCTCATGAAGTTAGGTCGACAAAATGACCTTGCCATTAACTCGATGATGTTTGTCTTTTCACACACCGTATCTCACCTTCTTAGAATGATCATCTTTTTTAGTAGACCAAAGAGTACTTCTTCTGATATCAGAAGGTCAAGGTCACAGTGACCCCTAATATGATAAGTTAGTTATGCTCAAAAGGTCAAGGTGAAAGTAATTTGGCATGTGCACAACGTTTTGTGATTCATTATTTGAAACAATGTGAGCTAGAACATTTGTTTTCTAACCTCATTTAAGTGTCTCATGGTCTTAATAACAATACTTCAACTCCCGATGTGTATATAGATCCGTCAATTTTATGTGATATATCTTACATACTAGTAAATATATAATGCATTTTACAAGTTAATACATAAAACAATTGAGCAGTGTGAATAAGTAATATTTTAATTAAATTAATGAAATATAGAGAATATTACCACAGCGTCTCAATAATTCAAGAAACTAACTTACTAATAAGTTATATCAGGGTCTTTCACATAGAATTCTATTCTATTTGAAAGACCCTGGTTATATTTATAAGAGAAAATTCTTTAAGTAAATGTATAAAATATTTAAATCTAAATGTATTACTGACATTAACTCGTAAGAGCATGGCGACAACGCAATGTGCAGAAAGACCTAAACACGGGAATTTGGGAGAAAAGAAAATATCAGGGTGTGATATATAGAAATCTAGTATATTCTTACAAACATTAAAATCCAGTCTAACACTTTCTTTTACAAGAGTAACATATAGACACATATATAAAACATGTTAATACAAGTACATGTACAAAACAATTGGACATACAGAAACAGTTCACAACAATGCACGAGCTACAAACACTGAAAATTGGGTTGTCTTGAAAGTACCCATGAATTTCCGCCGACAAGCGAATGCCGATAAAAGCAGACGATGAACAGACGACAATTGACGCATGCGTGAACAACAATTAAAATTTTCCCGCGTTTCATAATCGAACAGGGCATGACAAAATTAAAAAATAACAAAGTTTATGAACGACCTATTGTCAGACATTTGTGGGTCTAGGCCGCAGTGACCTTTATGATTGTGAAAATGGTTTCAATTCCATAATTGAAATTAACTTAACACAGCGTTGGCTTAATACTACAAACCCGTATGTCATTTTTTGTCATTTTTAGAAAATCGCATTTGAAAGTTTGAACTGTAATAACTTTTTAATGATAAACCGTATAAAGATAAAATTTTCAGTGAATTTAGAAATCTGTATGTTGTACATATGTACCAAATTTTATTTCTGTGCATACAATTTTAAAGCTAAAATATCAAATAATTAATTTCAATTTTTCATAATAAATAAGAAAATACATACAAATTCTGAATTCTAAAACCCCATTCGAGAGATACGTGGTTGTTGACAAAACATTCAGGTCATTTATACACCATAAAAGCGACATACGGGGTTCTAATTGAAACATTTGAAGCAAAATTGACTAAGTGTAATAATTTTCGGCTAGAAACATAGCAAAAATTCAAGTTTAAAATATCATTAACTTCTCCTACTGTGTAAAATATAACACGTCTGTTTGAAAATCAATGCTACTATCAAATGAAATCTACATTAATTTTTCATAAGTATGCACTTGTTATGTTACATGTTTATCAACCGTGCGTTTCTGTCACATACCTATGTTGCTATTATGTTTCAATTTTTGATTAAGAGTGTACATTAAGTAGATGCTTTTCGTGCTTCAGAAAACAGCGTTGAATCTGAAACAATTTGTCCTGATAGCATCTAAATGTAAACAAAGTGGTATTTTGTCTTCCATTCAAGAACATCTAATAACTATAACTTTTATGGATGATCAAAATGCAAATGTAAAAAATGGGTTCAGCTATATAGCTAATGAGTACCCTTTCAAAAAGTGTAAAAACTTGAAAATAAGAAGCTTTAGGGAAATTAAAAAAATATATCAAATTCATCGAGGCCGTCCGAAATGGTTATCATCCGAATAAATGTAGTATTTACATATGTATCTATTCAATACATTTACTATTAATTCAAAATGATGTAAGAGCTATAAAAACTAAATCATCAATATATGTATATTACATTCAGGTAATATACTATAATTATCTTTAAATAAACAGTTTTTCAAATATTTGGTTGTGATAAAGTAGGCAGCCATTACAGATGTGTTATGTATCACGTGGTACAAAATCAGAATGTTTGATTGGACAAGAAGTTACTGGGGTCTAGAATTAAAGTTTGATGTAAATAGCGAGTTACGGGTTTGTGGAATTGGAAATAAACATTTTTATGTTAGTTCTACAACTACATAAATATGTTCACCGTGAAGAGCTCACTGAGAAGAAAAAAATGATATAAAAATCTCAATTTTGCCAAAAATCGAGTTACGGGGTTGTAGAATTAACCCGACGACAGGGCTTTCAATAATTATTAACAAATACTTTTTACTTATATTTCACTGTGTGGCACTTCTTTTCTAATAGGTCTGGATAGATAAGTGCTAACAAATATCACGCATAAGTAATGCAATCAACGCATTTCTAATAATCTTTTTAAAAAAATCTGTGCAATTTTATGACAATAGTTTTACCGTTCTACATTATTGTTGTGTGGTAATTTAAGTTTCTTCTGTTTGACTTTTTTTTTCAATTTGGATGGTTCCATTGTTTGATTACTTGAATACTGGACTGTTCATAAGTCGTGGACAGTGACTGTAAACAA